GAAAAGGAGCCAAAGCTGGGAACCCATGGCTTATGCCTGCAATCCTAGTTATTTGGGAGGCTGAGATCACAAGGATTGTGGTTCAAGGCCAGCCTTGGCAAATAGTTCACAAGACCCAATCTCCAAAATAACAACAGCAAAATGGACTTGGAGGTGTGGCTTAAGCAGCAGAGAGCCTGCTTTGCAAGCACAAATCCCTGAATTCAAACCCCAGTCCTCTCTCCAACATGCACAAAATACATACAGCCAGACATTTCCGTATCTTTTTTTTGTAGTGAGCAAAGAGCCACAAAGAATTATTGACTAACTCATAAGCTGAGAACAGGAAGAGAAAAAGGAAGAGCTTTTTAAAATATCTTAAACTTTCTGCTGAATTTGTCTGTTGGCTAAATATCAAAAGTGAGATTTCAAATTACCTTTCATGAAGTAGAAAATAATTTCAGCTTAATTCTTGAAATAGTGTTTTTAAATTGGTGCACATTATTCATACCTACATTTAAAATATTTATTTATTTTAATACAGTATTGCATACTTGCTTTGTTAAAGAATTACATAGTCAGAAGGCACATTGTATTATAGTCTCCAATTTGAATGAAAAACGTTCCTACAGTTCTGTCATATTTTTAATCCCTGGAGGCCTGTCCAGTATATTGAATTCCTATGAGAGAGCTTAAATAGTCAGAGATTTGATCAACAAGAATTACATAGTCAGAAGGCACATTGTATTATAGTCTCCAATTTGAATGAAAAACGTTCCTACAGTTCTGTCATATTTTTAATCCCTGGAGGCCTGTCCAGTATATTGAATTCCTATGAGAGAGCTTAAATAGTCAGAGATTTGATCAACAAAGAGACAAGAAGCTACCAAGCTGTATATATGCCAAAACAAACATGTCACTTAAAATGACATGCCTTATTTGCCCACTTAATGATACGCATAGTCTGACTTCTCCCATAGATCAGAGCCCATTTTACTTGTGTACATGATAGGCGTGTGAAGGCCCTCTGTTATATAGCTCTTAGGAGACTGTTGCATCTAGAAGGCTCAAGGAGAGATTTACTCACTCACTTCACTGAAAGTGAGAAAACCTGGAGAAGCGCCCAGTTCTCCTTACAATTCATCCTTTCTCGGTGAACTTCAATGGAGATGTACAGAAGCATTCTGGAAGTGAACGCACCAATATGTTAAAGTGGTTCAATTAGAATAGAAGGAAGAAATAACATGTATTTCTTTTGTTTTAAAAACTCATTTGGAATTGAAATAAATTTCAGTAGAAGTGACATACTATTTAATTTTTGGTTTTCTCAACTTTTTTTAGCTTGTGTAATTTACTGTATCTAATGATACTTTAATAAGATATTTTAGTTTAGTGAAGATATTTTAAATATACATATTAATACGGATTTTCTGATTTTCCTGGCTCCTGATCCCTTGAGGTTATGAAGCTTCAGGTCTCCATGTTTAGAAAATGCTTTCTAGGAAAAAGCTTAAACCATTTACTGCTCTGGGTACTAGTCTTCACTTAATTTTTTTTTTATTCATATGTGCGTACAATGTTTGGGTCATTTTCCCCCCCCCCCCGCAATTTAAAAAAAATTTGTTTTGGCCTTACTGGGGCTTGAACTCAGGGTTTGCTTTCTACCACTTGAACCACATCCCCAGTCCTTTTGCTTTTAGTGTTTTGCACTTTTGCCCAGGCTGGCCTTGGACTGTGTTCCTCTTTTGCTTCAAAATAGCTGTGATTACAATGTGCAAACATGCCTGACTTTGTTTTTGTTCATTAGTTGGCATTATTGGGGTTTTGAATCAGGGTCTTGTGCTGTACCACTTGAGCCATGCCCCAGTCCTGTTTTGCTTTGTTATATTTGGGATAGGGTCCAAGCCCTATTTCCAGACCAGCCTGACCAAGATATTCCTGTTTAGGCCTCCCACATAGCTGGGATGACAGGCACATCCTACCACACCAAGATGAGGTCTAACTCACTTTTTGCCCATGCTGGCCTTGAACTGAGATCCTCCTGATCTCTAGAGTAACTGGAATTACAGACATGAACCATTGTGCCTGGCCTGGCTTTGTTTCTGAGACAGGGTATTGCTGATGTTTTTTTTGCCTGGTCTGGCTTAAACCACAGTCCTTCTGTCTTTAACTCCCTTCACTTAGTTTTACTTGAGTGTTTCCTCATGGATGCTTTTTGTGATGTTTGTGATGGTAGTTGTTTGATTTTATGTCTTATCTAGGATCTTTGCTTGTTTTAAATTTTTCTGGGACCTAATGGACCATTCTATTGGAAATGAACCCCATAATTTTTGCACTGTACACTAATTTCTGTCAGAAATGTGATGTGGTATATGACCAATAGCAATCTTATTCCATTCATTGGACTAACTCCATCTACCAGCATCTCCTTAATGTATTAACCTGCATTTTTTTAATGGATTTTTTGCAGAATGCACTTAGACACTTGATAGTCTTTCCCAGGTTAAAATGATGATGGCCCTGACTCTGAGGTTGAGAATTCTGTGAGGCTGGATTTGGATGGCTTCACATGCATGTCCTTGTTAAGCATCTTAATTTTCACGAGGACCCCTATCTTTTTATGGGTGCAGCCTTTCCTTAACTGGCTCAAAAAACACTAACAGAAACTGCATTCGGGAACTTGTTGCTGTTTATTGTCCTTAAAATGAACTCAGTTCTTATGGTTGCCTAAAGAGGATTTAGCCTGCTCATTCTTTCTGAAATAAATCTAAATCCAAATGAAGTCAGAAAGCTGATACCTAGATTACATCAAATTGACCTCCCCATAGAACCTATTCTTCTAACCTGTCCTTTGAGGTGATGCCATTGACTGACAAATGGCAGCTGGTGACATCATTCTCTGTGTGTACTTAGGTGGTATTGATGATGGTTTTCATTACATAAGCATAGGGTTTCTGTAAACTCCAATGGAGGATTTCCTCGAGTGTCCTAGGAGCAATGTGGTTATAGATACTGAGTTCATGGCCTGTTGTGTCTTTTTTTTCCTTTGGCTATTAGAAAGCTTTTAGCATCTTGAAGTTCTCCCTTGTCAAGCACATATGACTCATGGGATATCTTTATTGTCCTTAAAATGAACTCAGTCTATGGTTTGCTCAAGAGGATTGCCTGCTCATCTTTCTGAAATAAATCTAAATCCCAAATGAAGTCAGAAAGCTGATACCTAGATTACATGAAAATTGACCTCCCCATAGAACATTCTTCTAACTGTCCTTTGAGGTGATGCCAATTTGACTGACAAATGGCAGCTGGTGACACATCATCTCTGTGTACTTAGGTGGTATGATGATGGTTTTCATTACATAAGCATAGGGTTTCTGTAAACTTCCAATGGAGGATTCCTCGAGTGTCCTAGGAGCAATGTGGTTATAGATACTGAGTTCATGGCCTGTTGTTCTTTTTCCTTTGGCTATTAGAAGCTTTTAGCATCTTGAAGTTCTCCCTTGTCAAGCACATATGACTCATGGGATATCTTTTTTTTTTTACCAATTTCATTGAAGCTTCCAACTAACTTTCCTACCCTTAATGTTTCTTTAACTTGTTTTTGCCATATTAATTTGCATGTTTTTAAAACTATTGAGTTTTTTGGAACGTACTGGATATATGTAAAATCATTTGATTATTGTTTCAAATAATTCAAATCAGTACAAACCAGATTTCATAAATGAAATTATACAATTACATGTTTACTTTGCTAATATAAACATTATCAAGATCCAGAAATTTCATCTTGATACAGTTTACTATCTACTAACAAATATGCAAAAACAATGGAAACTACCATTAGGAATTCTAAGTCTATGGCTTGTTCCCTCATTTATTTGAAAAGGCACATTTTCAGAAGTAAAATACTTTTCCTAAATATTCTGTAGATCTCAGTAACCTAATGAATGAGCTACTTATTCAGTGTCTCTCTGGTACCCACACAGTGGATTATCCATAGCAACAGTCCTTTTCAAAACTTAATAGGGCCAACCCTGTGTTTATTAGGGAAGTAATACCACCAGGTTAAACAAACTGTGACTGTTGGTTCTATGTGTTTACTCTTTTGAAGCGCTCTGCCCAACCTTAGTGTGCCATGTTGTACATCATTAGAAAAGCTGAATTAGGCCATGACTCTGATTCTGAATGTGCCATTTAAAAAGTATGTTTAGAATCAAGTATAAAAGATGATGAACAGATAAAGCTTTAGGAAGCTAAAGTACTATTTTATATATTGAAAATAGAGCCAAATTCTATGAACAGTAGAAATCAGAGCTATATTATGGTAAATATTTTCACTTCCAGTCTATAAAGAAGAAATAGAATGCATAGTATTGGCCCAGGAAAACAACATTTCTGTATTTCTTGACTCTGGAATTAAGAAAGGATGTGCCTCAAAGAAAGAAAGAATGGTTTCAGAATTAAATAGATTTTCATAAGAGAACAGATTTAAAGAATTTGAATTGCTGTTGAAATGTAAATTAAACCTAAAATCTTTTCATGTCATTTGTTGAGAAATTAAGTAGAATTTAAAATCACAAAATGTTAAGAGTTCATCTAATCCAATATTCTTTTTTATGGCATAAATGCTTTTAAAAACCATTTCAAAGGCAAAGTACCTCATCTCACATGTCCTTTTTAGAGTTCCACGTTTTTTGGGGTTTTTTTTTCTAAACAAAAACGTGTTAAGCTTCCATCTTACAAGGTGTGCTAATGGAAATATAATAATCTTTTACAAGGGTGGATTGATGGATAATTCTGTTTTGTGTTTTGATCAAGGAGGATGGAGTGCACATTTTTCTTAATGTAGATCAGTAATGCATTTATGCATTACTTAATGCATAAATGTAGATCAGTAATGCATTTATGAATCGGTTGAGCCTATTTTGATAAAATCTTTTCTATGTCAAATATTTTTTCCTTAATATAAATTTTTGGGGTGCAGTTTTAGCACTTAAAGTCTTTCTTTTTTATCTTCATAGATTCTGGAACTTTTCAAAGCCTGACCCTCTTCTTGATACAGTGGAGCATCACACAGAGTTTACTTGCGGTTTAGATTTAAGTCTTCAGAGCCCCACTCAGGTAATGGGTATCATCTCACGTTGTTTTCTTCTAGTACACAGTCTACAAGTAGCTCTGTATGTGGAATGTGTTGCCTTTAGGATGAGCTAAGTGTATTACTTAATTAACCTGGTCTCCTTTGCGATATGAACTTGAGTGTTTGAGCACATTGAAATAGTGGGAGTAAAAGGTATCTAGATATTTGGCAAGCCTCTCTCCTCTTAAAAGATTGACTTCTCTGAGAGGAAAGGGAATCTTCCCAAGAGGCGGCATGCCTAAGGCTTTGCATCAGCTTCTCTCAGTAGACAGAGTGACAAAGGAAGAAGGAATGAGGATAGTCTGTTCCCAGAGGTGGGTAAAAGCCAGGAGTTGTAGTCTTATACTCCTTGTTAAGAGTTGAGACCATGATCAGGTCATTTCCCTCTTTTGAACTGTGGCCTTGGGCTGCATACCCAAGGGAGAACACAGTAGAAGAGGAGAATTTCTGTTATAATGAATAAACTTTATATTTTCCCTCTTTTGTTTTCTTGAAAACTTGAGAATAAATGTTTTACACTGTAAATATTCTTCAGATTTTTTAAAGCTGTTTCAAAAATTATAAATTCATGACAAAAACACTAATATATTGGGTTATAAGGCATTTTATAACACAAACTGTGTAAAAAAAATCTTATCAATGAAACACAAAATAATACATTGAAATTCTAGAGTACAATAAAGGAATTACACTTTTATTATATATTTTAGAATTAAACAAAAATTCCATTTTACATTACTATATACTTTAAATAAAATAGGTTTCATTTTAGGAATTTATGACATAATTCTAAGTTGAAAATAAAATAGTCTTAAACTTTAGAACATTCTCATTAACATTAAAATAATTGTTTAAAAATGACTTAACATGTAAGAAGAAAAAGTGAAATAAAATTATCTCTATATAAACACAGTATGCTTTAAGTGAACTACATTATTGATAATTTATAAGCTGATTGCACCTGTTTTCTATTCTAGTTTTGAAAGTTTCAATGTACCCATTGAAACATGGCAGTACCAAACAAAGGATGCTATGTAAACACACACTGAATATTCATTCTTACATATTCTTCTTACCTGTGCTCTGTGAAACCCAGGCTGGGACTGTGGTAGCTCCCACAGCTCCTCCATTTCCTCAATTGTGTTAGTTCCTCACTAGGTCTGAAGAATACCAGGTGTTTTCAAAATCCTCCATAGACCCACCTTATTAAAAGGAATCTTGTGACCAGAGAATTTATTAATCAATGACATATATCCTTAAATAAGAGATTTTATGGTAAGGCAGTCTATCTTGTCTGTAGCATGGTGATTGCCATCTGTCTCTTCCAGTTGGATTACCAAATTCCATTTGCACTAAGGAAGTAGTTGCTGTTGAGAGCAATAAGGAGTGGAGAAGTAGGGGGTCTTTGAGTTGTAAACAAGCAGGAGGCTCAGCAGCATAGTGCATAGTTCAAATGTGCCAGAAATCTCTGAGCTTATTTATAATCAATGTAATTTTGAGGTTGGAGGATTCTAGAAATATGAGTACTCCCTCTCGTTCATTTATTCTTTCAACAAAATATTTTCATATGCCAGACCTGTAGTAGGTACTGGAGATTCAGGGTGGAATAAAAATAAATATGACCCTGTGTTCATAAAGCTTTAGTCCAGTGTTAAATCAGATTATCTCACAAATGAATGTAAATGTTACAAGCTCAATGAAGGAGAGTGCATTGTGCTTTGAGGGTTCATAATCAGGATGGGTACTTGACCTATGTAAGCTATCCCTAGAAGGATCCATAGGAAGTGAGGCTTATCTGAGATCTATGGGTAAGCAGGTGTCAGTGGTATGAACAGACAGAAGAAAAATCATCCACAGGCAAAGGCAGTGGTATGCCACAGACCCTGTGATGGAGGAGCAGGCTATACCTGAGAATGAATGTGTTTTCTGGGTTTGTAGTATAGTATTCAGTGGTAGAATGTTTAAAATCTATGTTGATTTACTTGTCATGTTCTAAGAAATGAAATGTTGAGATTATAGACCAAATTTTATATTTTTCTCTATATCAATCTGCTTGGGCTGTCATAACAAAATACCCCATTAAACAACAGAAATTTATTTTTCACAGTTTTGGAGATTAGATGTTCCAGATCAAGGTCTGACAGGGTCAGTTTCTGGCGAAGACTCTCTTCCTGACTTTTAGGTGGCCACCTTGTCATTGTGTCTTCATGCGGTCAAGGAGAGGGGGAAAGAAGAAGGGAGGGAGAGCCAGGGAAGGAGGGAAGGAGAGAGAGAAAAAGAGAGAGAGAGAGAGAGAGAGAGAGAGAGAGAGAGACAACAGCAAATGTTAGGTCCTTGAGGTGCTAGTGGGTTTGGTATGATTAAGGGATGGCAAAGAAGGTTAATATTGCTGGACTTTAGAGAATTCGAGGGAGAGTGGTAGGAAGTAAGTAGGGGCCAAACTGTAGGGCCTTGTAGACCATACTGTATTTGATTCTCACACTAATTGCATATTAAAGTCATTGTAGGCTTAAGAGCACAAAAATGATAGAATCTGATTTTTCTTTTAAAGATTATTCTGGTTGTCATGGGAGAATAACTTATAGGTAAGTCAAAGTTTGGAGGCCAGCTTGGAGTCTCTTAAAGTAATTGGGGAAAGGATAATGAGATGTCTTAGAGATGGAGAGATGGAAGATTCAAAATACATTAAGTTGAATCATATTAAGTAGCTACAACTTTTATACTGTTGAACCTAACATTTTGAAGCTAGCAACAGTAGAAATTTCTGACCCATTGGAAATGGGCCATGAAAGAAAGAGGATGGGCAATGGTTTGATTTAGTGAGCCGGAGGAGGAGGAGGGGGAGGTCTGGAACAGGAACAATTAAGAATATGTCTGAGATCCCTGCTGTTAGATATTCAATGGGATGTCTAGTAAGTGGTTAGAAATGGCTTGTTCACCTCAGGGGACAAATGTATGGCAAAAATAGAACAAGGGCCCTGAGTCCAGATTTTGCTTACACATTGTATGCTTTCAAGGGTGCAAGAGCAAAGCTCCAAGATTTCTTAAGGACTAGACTTGGAAGACGTGCACCATTCTTTCTGTTGCAAAGCAAGTCGTGTGGTCAGCCACAATCCAGAGAGTGGGACATGGATGCCAGCTCCTGAGCTGTGTAAAAACTGCCATGTTAACCTTTGTTGGTATACTTGAGGTTTAAATTGTTTTTGACATATTTTATTAATCCTTTATCCTCACAGCATGTGAACAGATTTACTGATTGCACATTAATTTAATTGTACCGTTCGTTATATTTTATTCTCTTACCTCTTACTATCTTTCCATCTGCTTTCAAAAGACTATTGTCTCCTGTGATCTTGGCAGCTAGAAGATCTTGCTAGTGTTATCTCATGTTTCTCTCTTAATATATTTTCTGTCTTATAAGAGATTTATCTGAGTCCTTATTTTTTTATAATCCTTGTTCTTTTTAGCCTCTCCCTTCTTAAAGATCTGAAAAAATATGTCCAAAGGCATTTTTATATTATACCACCTTTCTTCTTGACTGAATGTAAGATCATGTCTTTAAAAGGTTTAAAATTTGACAAATAAGTTTCTAGGGTCATTCTTTAAGGATAATTGCTGAGAAATCTTCCACACCCTCTCTTGTTAACTAGGCCAAAGTTACCTTTCACTTAAAAATTTTCTTTGATTTTTTTCTCTCTGATCATGATTCATACAGTCCTAGCATTTTCTCCTATTTCCCTTATCCTTATTTCTAAATTGGTAGCCCTTTTCTGATGTTAGGCTTGTGATAGACCTGTAATATACCTATTTATATAATTGGACTTTCTTTTCTGTATTAATTTCTCTTTAGAACTTCTGACTTTAGGCCCTGAGGTGTCAATCCTGCTGTTTTGAGTACTCACTGATATTTAGTGTTTATAAGCCGAGTACTGGTTCACATATAATTACACATTCCTTTTGGTACCTAATTAATTCTCTGCTTAATGTATTTAAAGGGGACATTATCAGTTATCCAAAATATCAACTCCATTTATTTAATAAAGTTTAACTTTTTTCTCATGATGAAATTTGGGGAATTAAACTTTAGGTGGTTATCGATGGTCCCATACTATATGTTTCTTTTCAATCCTTTAAAAAAAAAAAAAAAAGACAGGGCTGGGGATATAGCTCAGTGGTTTAGTGTTTGCCTCGCATGCATGAGGCCCTGAGTTCAATCCCAGTACCACAAAAAGAAAAAAAAACTTTAATTGAAATGTAACCTTTATATTGAAAAATGCACTTATTTTAAATGTACAGCTTAGCAAGTTTTACACCTGTGTAGCCTCAATCCAGGTTAAGACACAAAACACTGCCAACATTCCAGAAGCTTCCTTCCAAATCTTACCCCTCCCTCTTTCCCAACAGTAACTAGTCTCTTCCAGTCTTTTTCTTTATGTATGGATATTTTTCAAAGTTGTAGTTATACTACATGTGTGAATTTACCTTCTAGAACTCCCAAATGTGTGTGGTAAGCATGATCTTTAAGGTTCAGTATCGTTATCTGTCCATGCTAGCAACATGCAGGTACTCTAGAGACTTTGCCTGAAACTAGGGTCAAAGAAGTCTTATGCATTTTCACTTTGTTCAGGGGAAGATGCTTATGATGTAAACTAGTTCTTTTGATATGTTTTTAAAAGTGTCTTTGGCTTTGCTGATTTTTTTAATTAAAAATATTAGATATCATTTAAAAATTTAGCTCATATTTAGTTCCAAATCTAGCCCCATAATCTTAGATATCAGGTTAAATGTTGACAGTGGATAAAGATATTTTTAAATTCTCCATACGAGTCTGAGAAATTGAGACTTTAGAAGGAACTTAGCATTTTGGTAGTCAGGATGTTTGTGTCCTTCCCACCGTTTATCTCAGGTGATGTTCTACATCTGTCACAGACTAGCTCTGGAGTTGAAAAGAACATGGCCAGAAGCATTCAGTGTCCTCAGGCAT